CAATAACTGTGATTAGTTATCCCCAATATGATCATGTTACAGCCAATAATTATCACTTGTGGGAAACCAAATTTCATTGATTGTACTGCCAGTCCTAGAATTAAAGTTTTCACATTAAATCTTCTACTTGCAGCCAGCCTCTCTGGTTATTGAAATACAATAATATTCAAACCAGAAGCTAAACATTGACTAAAACTGATGCATTAGACAAACAAACCACTATAGTATATGCACAGCTGCCCAAGGTTCTTGTCAGCCTCCATCCTGATGCCACAGTGAGAGATAAGCACATAACAGGCGTGCTGAGTGGTTATTACAGGATTGGATTTGTTGGGGAAAAAAATAAATAAATACTGACTGCAGCTTCAGGTTGAGTACATAACAAGCATTTTTTTGGTTGCATAATTAAATGAGCAACCATGCACCAAATCACTTTTTTCTCAGTTATCATAGGACAAAATAGACTGAAGTTTAGAACAACTCACACTGTGAGGGTTTTAACCTTCCTATTCCTCATAGTAAACGCTGGTGTGAAATTACTGTACTTATTGTACTAAAGGCCTTTTGTTCCTGTTTAATCAGCTGAAAACTAATTACCTGAAGGTATGAAATGTTGTTTGGGAATGAAGATGTTTGATTCTTAATTAGGCCTCCTGAGAGAGTAATGCTTTCCACCTGGAGAATTAAAGCTCCTCAGGCTCAGTCATGACATGTTTTATTTTGTCTATGAGCGCTTATATATGTGTATGTGGAAGTCAGGAACACAAAAAGCCCAGCTATGATACATCTATGTAGTTTTCTCTCTAGATTTTAAACACCCAGATGAGGAAAAAAAGGAATAAACATAGAAATTCAAGCTCACTGCGAATATGCAATTTGATAACTTCTTGTTAGTTATCACGATCGTTTAGAACCACTTTTAGTTTAATAGCTGTTGATGTTTTCCTGAGCCGCTCTATAATTGCTAATGCTTTGCCTCCAACCACAAGATATGTATGCCTATTAGCACTCTGTATGTGTGCGTGTGTGTGAGAGAGAGACACTGTGCACCAATAGGAGTCCTGTATATGTGGTGTGTTTGTGTTTAAGTGTTGTCTTGAGAGATTTGAAGCAGCAGGAGAGTTTACGAAGTACTAAGTACAGGTTGAGGTTGGCCACTTGTAAAACACTCGAATGTGCACGGCGGCTGTGGCAAACATCTGATGTCACAGCTGGCAGACACTCTCAAATAAAATCGATGCCATGAGGTACTTGGGACGGAAATCCCCCACTCACCACCAGATACAATTATGTATCCATTTTTTAAGGAGCAGATTCAGCGTGTATTGCATTTAGTTGAAAATGGATAATGCAGAACAGTTGATTGACACTGTTAATGATATTCAGTGTCAAAAACATGTTTTTATAGTTTAAGTGTGTATGTCCAGAGTCTTTTTAAGGAAGAGGTGCCTCTTTTCTTCTTTCATGTTTGCATGTGGACTGGACAATGTTGACATGTTGCCTTTGATCCCTGGAAGATCAGGATATATCCGGGGGCTTCCGCCTCGTCCCTCAAGGCCCCGAAGCCCCAACTGTTCCTGTGGAGCTGCTCAGTGGCCAACAGATCAGACTCTGGATGATTGTGTGAATGTGTAACTGAGTTTAGAGCTCAGAGTTTCTTGGTAAACAGCTCAGCAAACTCACTCTGGGTGAATAAAGGTAAAAATGTTGAATAATAATGTAGATTTTTGACACTTCTCTAAACCGGGTTAGTCCTGTTATACCCAGTTTGTTAAAGAGGTCTCAGACTGATTTCTTTCCATATGCGATATCCCATCACATCACAGGGAACTGGGAGTCAGTATGTCAGGTGTTAACAGCTGTAATACTTGTATTGTAGTTATTCCCTATATAATAGTGTAGTAATACCTGAATATACCTACAGCCAGACAAACTTTTAAAGTTGTTATGGCTCCCATAAAATGAAGCCATGTGTAGACTTTCATTATCATATAAAGTTAAATTTCTAATAAACCTCTTTTACTTTTTCTTATTTTATTCTTATGCTGTCATGGGTCTCATACATTATCATTCAACTGTTTTATTGTTCAAGTTTTTTTTTTGTTCAGGGCTTTTATTGTCTTTATTTGATAGTAGCAGTTGTAGAGAGACGGGAAGATAGGGTGACTTTAGGCCACTTTCCATAATGGCATCAAACAATAACACTTTTTTGTCAGACTTGTGAGTTGGTTGTTTTTCTTGGTATGGAGTCCAGTATGCAGGGAAGTGAATGCACTATTTACATTGTCCCACACCCTGCGGTATGAGAGGATATGTTGAGAGGGAACAGGATGTCCTGTGTATAGGGGGAATAGGTCAGCCTGCAGGAGGATGTGGTTCAGGCTTGATGTTCCCTTAAGCCTTGTTCTGGTATCATCACCCGGCTCTGTATCCACAATCAGGAACTGAAGTCATTTTAAGCTGATAAATATTTAAAGGGCTGCTTTTATTCTCATGGTGTGATGGATATAGGAGCATTATGTGGCAGGAATAAAATCTGCTGTCTGTTTTCTTGTCTATTTTGTGTTTATTTTTTCCCAT